TGCTTAGCAAGTATTGCTTTCAGTTTTATAAGTACTGTGTGTGCAGCTTTGTCAGAATCTGTTGTACTTCTAGGTATTTTGAAAAGTTATCAACATTAACGAGAAATGACTGACTTTTGAGCTTGACTATACTCTGTACCTCTTGGAAGGATGAACTTGTCATTTGTCATTATCAACCCATCACTGATGTGTCTTTAATAGGCAAGTAACTCCTCAGATCCTTGTCAACTTGTGAAAGCCAATATCTGAACCAAATAATCAGACTGGTATTGATCTGACATAAGTATCTTCACAATTTTTTGGGGGTTGAAATGTCCATATCACAAAAATAGATAAAGGGTGCTTTGTCTAATAGGCTACCTTCATGTTTAAGCAGTATAATGAAAAACGGTTGAACAACTTTGCTGGTCAAACCTGTTGCGATGGTAATACATTATAATAAGTTTGTATTTGTTAACATAAGATACAGATATACATATAATGAACATTATTTGTAAATGTACATAGGGGTAGACTGGGTACAGTTGGTACAGGGGTACACTTGAAACACCTTAAATAACATGCGTGCGCAACCAGTCTGATCTATGATATTTGCTTCGCACATGCGTATAAGCGCCCTCTTCGATCGTGGGAAATTTGAAGTATATGCGCTTCTCCAGTCCGAAGATATCGGGGTTTAGTTTTTTTTCTAAGGTAAGTTTTTCACTTCACCACGTCCCTTCCACATTATAGCTTCTCATCCTTACATGACTGTTAAAGTTAACTTACATTTTCGTAAACCTTAATCTGTGCTCTAAAAACGGACATATTGCATGACTTTGTGTCATGCAAGGTCATCGTAAAATCTAGAGAAATGTTCGAGGTGGTCAGCAGGGTACAGTTGAGACTAAATGTATCAAATGTACCCGCACTAGAATCCTGTTGCGGCACATGCAGTTTAGTTGCACGATGTAAGATCACAAGTTAATAGTCACATTCAGACAATGTACAAAGCAAATTAAAACAACATTTGATGTTTGTGATATTAAAACTGTCTACTTCTTATTGACATATTTTCTAACATGAAGGACATAAGGATATTACACTGTAAAAAATGACTGTGAATTTAACGGTAAAAGACTGTAAATATGCTACAGTAAAAACCTGTTAAATGGTTAACGGTAAATTCCCCTACTATACACGGTGAAAAACTGTATTGGACATTACACGTATTGGACATTAATTTTACGGTAGTATACCGTTTTTGGAA